AAAAAAAGAAAAAAAGCAAGCCAAAATTCTTGGGTTCTCTAGCCTGACCTAAAGTGGCCCAGAGCTCTGAGGAGGGACTTTCCCGGTTGTTGGGACGGGCGTAGCAGAGGTGCAGACCTCCGAAGCACCTCCTCACATCAGCACCCCCGCTTCTCCCACTCAGCGCCGAACACCTCCTGGGTTTCCCCCACCCCCGGCCAAACCACACTGCAATCAGAATCAGTGTCAGTGCTCAAGGGACCTCAAAGGCCCTTCCAGTGCCAACCTTTTACCGTACAAAATCTCTACCCTGCACCTAACTCTCCGTCTGAGAACACGTACGATTCTACCAGTGCCCTTAATCTGCCACATTAAAATCATACCTCATTAAACTGTGCCATGATCACCACCCCCCCATTCTACAGATAAGGAAACCGAGGCACTGAGGAAAATAAGGCCAGATGCTCCAGACCTCAGACTGCAAGAGTAGGAGCCAAGAGCCCTTGGGCCAAAACTCCACAGGCATGGCGATGTCTGTGGGCTTCCTCCTTCCTTCCAGGGCCGCTGAGGCTGGTGGAGGGGTTTTGAAGGTGAGGACGTTTGAACTGCAGCCACCACCCCAGGCTCAGCCTCAAAAGATCCAAGAACGCGCAGCTCGGCGAAACCTTGGACACATATCTCTCCCCGGGGAGAGGGGCCTTGTCTGCACAGTTGACTAAAAGTGATGTCTGTGGGATAGGTGCGGCTTCACCTGCAATCCTAGCCCTCGGGAGGCCGAGGCAGGACTAAAGCTCTGGGGTCAATCGTGAGGATAGAACGAGCTGCAGGCCAGCCTGTATACCCACACCGTGAGACCGTCTCCAAATAAATAAAGCAAAAATACTTGTTAGGGTGTGGGGGACCACAGTAAGCGAGAGGATCATCACCCTTTTGTTTTCCTGTCACCAGCCAGGGGAGGGAGCAGCGTGGCTGGGTGAAGGGGTCCTGAGTGCGTGGTGCCTTCTGGGGTTCAGGGAGCCCATGTCCCTGTCTACCAGCTTCCCTGGGGACAGGCGGCTATGATGTTCTCCTCACCTGGGCACCACAGGAGAGATGCTCCGCCCTGGGCCAGGGCTTCGATTAAGTTGCAAAGGGCCCGGGGATCGGGGATGACAAAAGGGGCTTGGAGACTAATTAGGAGCAGCAATGAAAGCTTAATTCATAAAAGCAAACATTTTCCATCCATCAACCTGCAACCAGTTAAGGGCTACGTTTGAAAGAAATCTGTGCACGGGGAAGGGAGCCAACAGGAACAGGAAATGTTCGAAAGAATGTAAACTATTTCAGTTTCATAAAAAGTAACAAGTAAACAGTTATTACATGCAAATAACACCCTGGTTTTAATTAATGCTGAAAAGTCAAAAATATGTTTGACATTTGTATGTATAGACCGAACGGCTGCAGAGGACAAAATGGTGCCCAGATGCCCGGTGGGAGCGAGCGGGCTGGCGGCTCCCAGGGAACTCCAACCTCGAGAAGGTCTTGTTTATTGGTGTTGAAAACTACCATTTTGCCCCAGCAGCCGGGAGCCGCTCACTTCCTAACCCTGGAGGGCTCCAGAGCTGGGGAAGGTAGCTGCTCAGCCACCCCAGGGCTCAGCCACTTCTGTCTTAAAGCCACAGATCCTCCTATCCCGGGGCCATGGGAACTCGTCCCCGGGAGGGCTCGTCCACCCCAGAGTTACATGATGACGGGTTTCAGGTCCCAGCAACCACCCACTCAACAGGCCCTGGCGGCAGCCACTGTGGCGTCTGGCCCCGTCTTCTTGCCACTACCGGGATGGGTCGAGCTGGCAGGGCGGCCACCAGCGTGAGCCCGGGGCTGAGGAGGCAGCCTTCAGACTCCTCTTTCCAACATTCTTCCCACTCTCTTTTTTGAAAGTACCCGAAGCCCAGAGACTCCCGGGAGACCAGGCCCTAAGGAGACCATGGGGGTGGGGGTGGGGCTCCCGCCCTGGGGATTGCGGCTGGGGTGCCTCGGCCCCAACCAAAAGACACCCCCACCCTGCCTGAGCTGTGTGCACAGGGCCTTCTCCCAGCATGTTCTGTGAGATCAGAGATGCCAATGGGGGAAGCAGCCCCTGAACCCCGGAACCTGGCAGAATTCTTCTTTACTAGTGAGAAATCGCAAACCTACCCACATGGAAAGGTGGCCTGACGCCCACGGGACCAACTTGTTATTCAGACAGCCCTGGGCCTGCAGACCTATTTTCCGGAGACCCCAGAAGCGTCCCTTCCACCTTCCTCATCCCAGGGTCCCCCTTGCTCACCTCGCCCGCTGCGGCCCACGAACCGAAGGTCGTTGAAGCGGGCCACCTGGTTCTTCATGACGGCCGAAGCGTTGCGCAGCTCCGCGGAGTAATTCTCGTCGTTGCCCGCCATCACCGTCACCACTGTCCCATCAGGCACGTCCCCCAGGGCCACCACCTGAGGACACCAGCGGGGAAGAGGACGGATTAGGGAGGCCGAAAGGAGGGGCTCTCCACGCGCAGCCCCCTCTCCCCCGGGGCCCAGGCTCCCTGAGGGTTCCTCAGCCGCAAACCCAAACGATGAACCCTCTGCCCTCCATCCCCAAATCCTGGGTCCAGTGGTTAAGGAGCGCCCCCCCCCCCCCAAAGCATCCTTTCATATTAAATCAGGTCTAACCTAGAGCTGTCAATCAGCAAGGTCATTGCCAAGGGTGGGGCGCTAAGGGAGGATCAGGGACAATAACAGGGCTACTCTTTGCTCTCAGTGAACGCACTGGCCCTTTGGGGTATGAAATTTGGCCCTGCCCTGTGGCGCGCCCGGATTCGTTATGCAGAGAGAGAGGAAAAAAAGCAAAATAAAAAAACAAACTGCTGTGGTGGCCGAGCTGCTCCGGGAGAGCCCGAAGCCAGCGGGTACCTGTTGGGGAGCCCTGCTGGGTGGGGAGAGGCGCACCCTCAAACATCATCCCCCCCTCCCCACCCGAGGCGCACCGAGAGGCCGAGGCCTTTTGAACCAGACTTTAAACGGAGCCACAGCCATTTAAACGTGGCCGCCGTGTGCGGGGACCGGGGGGATCCAGATGGTAAGGATTTCGAGACGAAAATGTTTGGGGTCTGATTAAAAAGGCCAGATTTCCTGTCAACATCCTGTCTTCTTTTAATTTCAAAGATTCCTTTTAAGCTCCAAGTGACAGTAAAACCTCCGATCTGACGATTACAGTCACACGGGCCTCCTCCCCCCCCCCCCCCCCCCTCCCTCCTCCCTGGGAGATCCCCCCTCCCCCGGTATTTTAAGATGTCACCCTGGAGACCTCAAAGAGTCACTAGTCTTTTTTTTTTTTTCCTTCCTCCTTCTTCTTTACTATCTGAAGTGTCAGTGCGAGCAAGGAGGGCCTCGGCGGCCGGCAGCCGGCGGCGTTTGCAGCCACCTCGGACACCACCGAGCCGCCGGCCCTCCCGGCTCTGCCCTTTCTCATGGTACAGCTGCAAGTTTAGGGGAAAACCAAGGCGTTTTCGTTTCATCTGGCTGCCCCCCCCCCCTTTTAAAAAGAAAAAGAAAGAAAGAACGAGAAGAAAATGAAACAGTTGCCTGTCTGTCCCTGGCACAGTTGAAAAAATTTTTTTTTCTCTGAACGACTCGGGGATGCCAGGATGGAGACACTCCCCCCGGCCTCTGCCTATCACTCGGGGATGCAGAGCTTTAGGGATCCAGGATCGGCCTGGGGTCGCCCTGTGCACCGTTTCAGCCGCGGGGGAGAGGGTGGGAAGGGAGCAGCGCGGAGGAGAGCGGGGTAGGCCCGGCCCTCCGGGCTCTCTGCACCCCACACCTCCCGGGTGCTCCCCTCGCACCGGGGGTCCTCTCCCCGGGTACGGGTGAGGCTGTGCCCAGGAACCTGAAGGCCCCGGTGCTCGGGCCGTCCCCGGCGGGGCCCCGCGGAGGCCGGGTGGTAGGAGGTCCGGGCTCCTCCAGGCTGTCAGCGCCCCAGGTCCTGCGGGCAGCGAGGCGGCGGCGGCCCGCTCTCCGCGCGGGGTCCCGGTCCTCCCGGGCGCCCTCCCGCATCTCCCCCGACTGATGCGCACGCCATCCCTCCGGACCCCGTTCCCCGCAGCGGGGACACCGGGTCCCTGGCGCGCTCTCCGGGGCCCGTTCCTGCAGCGCGGGTGACCGGGCCCCCCCGTGCCCCTCGGGACGAGCGCCCCGCTTTTCTCCCACCCCGCTGCCCTCCTCCCACGGCCCCTGGAGTCTGGGCTCTCACTGAGGGGTCCTTCAGGGGCGTGGGGTCCCCCCTCCGTGTCCTGTCAGCCGAGTTCCCTCCGTGCCCTCCCGGTCCTCACCGGCCTGGGCTTCTGCAGCGGGGGGGGGGGCGCCCCCTTCCCCCCGTCTCTCCCCCCTCCGTCCCCCCGCGCCCTCCCCACCCCCGCACTCACCTTGAAGGCGACGGGCAGCGTCTTGTTGCAGCGCCAGTGCGAGGGCAGCACGGAGCAGAGGAAGTTGGGGCTGTCGGTGCGCACGAGCTCTCCCGCGTGGTCGGCCAGCACGTCCACCATCGAGCGCACCTCGGCCCGGGCGCGGCCTCCGGGGCCCCCCGCCGCCTGCGCGCCCAGCGCGCCGCTGTTCTCGCCCATCTTGCCGCCGCCGGCGCCGCCGCCGCAGGGGAAGGCCGTGGAGGGGGGAGTGAAGCGGCGGCTGGTGCCCGGGTCTACGGGAATACGCATGCCGTGGCCGTCAGGGGCGCGGGCGGCGGGAGGCGGGGGGGCCCCGGGGCCCCGGGGGGCGGGCGGCCCGGCTGGGGGGGCACGCCCCG